AAGATATATAATAAAAATTTTTACATTTAAATAAATCCCAATATCTAATAACTTAATTAAATAAGACAGAATTAAAAATTTTATTTTGAAAAAAATAATCTATTAATATTTATCTGAGGTACAAATCTTTTTGCACCAACCTATATATTATAAAATAAACAAATATTCTTGAATAGTTTAATTTAATTATATTTGTTCATAAATTTCATTTTTTAAAAAATTATATATTGGTTAATATTTTTTATTTTAACAAGTTTGTAAACTTTGGTCTACATATAATAAGCGTGATTCCTTTATTTCTTGCCCAATTTAACAGAGCTATGCGCCATTAAAATAAACATAATCTCAAACTCTTGTTAGAGTTGTAATGCTAAGCCTGCATTTGACGCTAAATTTCATTTTTACGTAGTAAATAATGATCATGGGCGCATTTACAAAGTCTTTTAGGAAGGTAACAAACTATTTAAAGTTTACACCATATGAAACAGCTCGTGAGAAAAATGCGGTTAATTTAACATTACGAATTATTTTAAAAGATTGTTAATGACGAGTGTCAATAAATCAATGATTCTATTAATAAAAAAGTTCGTTACCACGAATTATTAAAAGATCGAATGTTTCAGAGTATATATATAGTGAACTCTGTATATAATAAGGAAAAGGAATGTTCATTCAAACAATTATCTCTATTTGACCAAAACGATGAAATTACAACGATAATTTTAACTCTCCCGCCAAAAATAACATGCATGATTTCACGTGAGTGAGGAAGAAAATTTCAAAAGATACTAACTACAAAAAGCTATCGTTCAGCTAACCTGACCCATGCTGCATATTGCATCATTAATCCCTTTTTGCTCGCACCTGACAAAATAAAAAATAGTGGATGGGTGGTAATAGTTGGTGGAAGATGCACCAACAACAGCAAAACTGACAAAGACTTCAAAATATCTTTGGTGGGAGTACTCTGATTGAACTGCTGTTTCGCTGTCGTTGACCTTTTTTTTCGGACGAGAATCGATTCCACAAAGTATATTTACGCGATTTGAAAAATATAATGTTCTAAATTCTACATAAATACAAAAAGATATACATAAGTAGACGTGTTTTCTTGGCGGTTGAGCGAGAAAAATGAATTCAACAGCAACAACACTCTTTGCTTCGTGTCGTCAAGACAGCAATGATTCGCGCGCGGGGTATTATGTTTCAAATTCAAATCATGCTTTTGCCTCCTGTCGTCAAGACGGCAATTGGAATCTCGTGGGGAACTCCAATCATGCTATAAATAATGCAGTCGAGTCAGGTGAAATGGTAAGTTATTTTTCATATTTATGCATATTATTATGTTTTTATAGAAATAGAACATATGTCTTCTAACATCATAAACAAACAAATAAATTAATTAAACTTTCTTTGGTCAAACAAATCAGACAGATCAAAAAATTTGTTATTTTGATTCCCAGCATAATCACGTGATAAGCTCCGCTGAGGCTTCTCGCAACATATTCTCTTCATCATATCATCGTCGCCACCGTTCTCGTAAACTAAAGAAAAAGTCACCGGCACCAGAGGCTTCTGATAACGCCGTAAATTTTGATGCTGACAATGAATCAGACGCGGCTAACCAATCTATCGCGAGAACTTGGGTCACAAACGCAGATAGTGATCAGGAGGACGAAGGCGACACCATGAAAAAAAACCAAGGAATTTATTATATAAAACAAGAGGACGACAACGCGTTGTTACATTCTGCAGATCATTATCAAGAAGACAAAGCTCTTTTAGGTACCGCGTTTATCTTGATGAATCTTAGCATGGCTCCTACCGCTACTACCGATCCTTATTATCTCCCAAAACAAGAAATCGAAGATCAGAAAGTGTACAGTATATTGAGGAGAGAAGCTTCAACAACAACGATAAAAGAATATCATGACTACATACACGGATCGTCACCATTACTGGGTCAGTCGCTCTATAATAATAACGCTTTAGAAGTCGATAACGATATGCGTCGTGATTTGGAGACTGATCATCAAACGAACCAGTCCGAATCATCAGAAGGAGCAGAGGAATCAGATCAAGATTCAGACGTGTCTTCTAGTACTCAGAAATGGTCTAGTCGTCTTCGACCGAGAAATCAAAAATGTTTGAAAGAGGTCTCCAGTGCAAGTGAAGAGGAAAGATTTCTAAAGACCCCTCGTAAACGTAAATATAATCGAAAAATAAAAGAGCCTGATTTCCCATACAATCCGAAAAAACCATACCAAAAAAGTAAAGTAAATAATAATAATAATAATAATAATAATGTTAATAGCAACAATAAAGTGAAAAAGATACACATAGCTGTCTCATCAGCCTCATCCTCGTTGTCGTCTTGTTTGTCGGACCAATCATCATCATCGAACGACGAAGAAGGAGGAGACTCCAACAACACCGATCAGGCAAAACCTCAAAAGAAAAAGAAGGAAATACTATTACACTGGGTTCAGCCTTACCGACTACGAACATGCACACCGATGACGTTTCCCGAGTTGAAATTAATCGATGAGTTTCTATATTATTATCGTAATCACGTTCGAGGATTAAAACGCAATTGGAGCACGCTAGTGTGGGAAGAAATTCATGCGCTCGGAGACGGAGACGAACCAATGAAATTCTCGCGTCATTTGTTTCAAGATGTCCTTCGTCGCGAACGCTTTCCTAAAAGTCCTAGTGCGATTAAAGCCATTAAAAAATGGATAAAGTTACAAAAGCATTATATTGCTGCCACTGCTGCTCAAAACGAGAATAATGAACAGCCTCAGCAGGAACAACAATCATCTGCTGAGGAGAATATTGAAAAAGAAAGAGGAAGAATAACTAAAAGAGTGAGGGTGACGGGAATAACGAATAAGGGAAACGCTATGGGGAGAGGAAGATCAGCGATGATATCTGGAAAGGATAAAAGCACAGGTAGAGGCCGAAGTCGAGGCCGTGGCCGTGGCAATGCCGCAAGACTAGGTCAAGGTTTGGGACGAGGTCGAGGTTCAGCAGGTTTAGGACGAAACAGAGTAAGAAACAGAACGGTCTTATAAAGAGTCTGTTTTGGTAGGGATAGCATGCTTATTTGGAAAATGTTCATAAAAATCATTATAAAATTCATTACTACTTTCTTTTTTCATGTTAATTTGATTCATTAATTCAAAAAATTCGTAGTTTTTGTTGTTGAGAATAAAAATCCATCTACACATTAATGTTTTATATACTGCAATTTATATACGTAACGTCAGAATAATGGGCAAATTTAGCATTGTGATCGTGTTCATTTATGGAAATTGATCACCAAAAAATTTTGAGATACATGTATATATTTTCAATAAAAATGTTGCTTTTATATTGGTAATAAAATATTTTATAAAATACATGACGAAAGATAAGAATATACTATTATTTGCTAGTCTTTGATTTTCAAAATGAATAACAATTACGAAATCTATTAATGCTACCAGAACATTAAAGAAATGACTGTGCCTATATTATATATTACATTCCTTATATCATTATTACGATGCGTGCTTTGCCCTTCAATTATTAATTAAAAAAAACGAAAAGAAGGAAAACAATACAATTTATATACATTTTTTAAATGAAAACGAAATTTTTAAAATTTACGACTCGATCATTTACACTGAATCGAGTTACCGACTGTAGTGCACACGGTACCACTTGGACATTGTCTAGCCACGATAGACCCGTTAACACACGTGTTGAAGGTGGCGCTTGAACCGGATTTTACGCATGTCATTTGTCCATTAGTACATGACGATGAAGAACCATTGTTGTCACCCGATGAAGAAGTTGGAGCCGAAGTTGAAGTTGTAGCAGTTGTAGTTGAAGCTGTAGTTGAAGCCGAAGTTGAAGCCGAGGTTGAAGCCGAAGTTGGAGCCGAAGTAGTTGTGGAACCATCATTACCATTTCCGGCACCTTGTAGATTGGCAGAAACATCAGATGCCAACGGACCAGATCCTTTCAGATTACCATTGTTACTAGGATCACCAGTTGGTGTCAAAATGGTCGGGAATTGAGGTGGTAAATTAGCACGAGTAATATCTTTAATCGGCAACGGCTTAGTAGAATTTCCAACGATTTTCACATCAGCACAATTCTGGTAAAATTCGCGATTTCCCACAGCATTGATCCACGACCACGAAAAAAGACATTTGCCAGGTTTGTCACACGATGGCGCATTCTCTGGAATCTTTACTTTCCAATCGAAAAATATATCCGGGCAAGTTTCATGATAAGTGCCAATAACAGTGTACGTCACACCACCGTCATACGATAGCGCAAATTCACATTGGCCACCATTGTGACGCGCTTGATCACGAGATTCATCACCTGGTTGCGGCCCGTTTGGGAAATTCGGATTCCAGAAATTAACGCTGATGACTTCGCCGGCTGTTAGAACTTGTGTAATTTGGGTATCTTGTGGGTAGCCGCCGCATGGAAATGCTTTTGGTGCGCAGCCTGGGCCACCGTTCAGTGGTGTGGTTATGCATGCAAAATCTTTTACTGCTGCGTTTGGATTTAACGGATGTCCTCTGTTGAATTGTCGTAAAAAAAGTTAAATTAATTTTGTCATTTTGAGTATATTCAAAACTGTACACATAAAGAGATATAGATTTACCTAGGAAGCGGATTTTTGATTGACGAGTGAGCATCAACAATATTAGTAGATGTCGTAAAAATGGCGGCAAAAAGTGCAAGCGACGATAAGAACTTCATATTTGTTTTTTATAGATAGTAATTTGAATTATAATTTAATTGTATTGCCCAGCCAGGGGAAGATAAAAAAGAGTGGAGAGGAGTAATAATAGTAAGAGCAAAGCGCAAAGAAATGTAAAAAAAGAAGACCAGCAAAAAGTAAAGTATATTAATTTTTTTCGTATGTGTAGTATGTCAATTAGGTTCCCGACCTATGCTTAAGAAAAGGTGAAAACCAAGTGCGTTCTTTTATACTCGAAAACATCGAACATTTTTTCTACAAAAAAATACAATAATGGCATAAATCGAATTGTTTTGTTTGTGTAAAATAAAATGAGGAGTTGTGCGTGCGAGTGTGTAGAATACCGGATAAAGGAATATAATTCGAGCGCGTGTTAAATGGTTTGAATATGAATCTATTTTTACATAAATCGGATCGGCTATGCATCTGAAGGACGAATATCGAATAACCGTAAATTAGTGATTGTACTTTTTTCAGTTTTCCAAATTTGATTTTAATTTAACGAGCTTTACGTAATACATGTACATGTATACACAACACAATTTAGATTGTATATTACCCAAATTATTATTGTTTTTGGGCTGATTCTAAAAATGTGAAGGCTGGTTATCGTTGTGTGTTAAAATGAATTGACTTGATAATCTCCGTTTTTTGACAAAGAAATACTTTCAAACTAGCCATGCTGCTGATAAAATTGATGTTTGTTTCACAAATAAAGCTTTTTTTTTCGGTACTTGGTTTCTTTTTTTATGGTAACGAAATCGAGTTGAATTCTTAAAACGAGGAAATTTTGGTTGTCTTATACCAAACATGTATAAAATTCAAATGTAAAATTGGTCTTTGTAAAATCACGAAAACGTTTCACCTTTAATTTCTTTCAACAAATGATTTACACGATATTCTT